GGAATTGCATAAACCGGATTCTGCTAATAAACTGCCGCACAAAGAGAGATTAATGAAATTGTCCTCTCCTGCTTTTCGCCTGAATATCATTAATAACGTGCTTTCTGTTCCTGCCTCCACTTTTATTCTCCTCGTCCCCTTCTGTCTTCCTTTTTCCCCATCTCATCGTTACGATAAGGTCGTAGAGTTCGTTATTAGACTTCAGTTTACGACTGTTCGATTAAATCGACGGTAAAACTGACTCAAGATTAACCAATACAAATTTTATCGAGTCACTTTGAGAATTATTTTCGAATTTTCCCGGTGAATTCCAAACAGATGAAAAACCAGCAGGCGGCCTGCAAAGCGCCGAAGTCCAGTTTAAATCGACACGTGCTCGATCGACTGACGGAAATTCTGCGTTTTCGTCCTCCGCAGAAACGTCACAGCCTATAATCGCGAAGAAACTCAATCTGTCCCCCCGTCCCTTACATTCCTATCGACGCGAAGAATTCGTCGCGGAAGAAAGCTCCCGGGGATAATAAAAATTTCTCCAAGCTACGATAGTTCTTGGAGAATGATGGACGAAGACCGCCGCTATAAGACAGCAATCAAACGAAACTCCGTTCCCTCGTTTGCGCCGTTCATCCCCCTCGATGAATTCCAATCGTCGTCCCGGCTACGATCGTACCGGTAATACACGGGTTCGTTCATGCGAGAGGAATGGTCTCGATAAATATTTCAGCGGATCCGACTGCGATCGGCAACGATAGAATTTTACAAATTACTACCTTGGACAATTTCACTTATACAGAGGTCGCGTATTCTAACGAGCCCGTTCTAACGACCCTTATCGATCACAGATCTGTTCGTCGGGGAGAGAAAGAGAGGGGGAAGGGAAATAAAACCGCGATAAATAATCGATCTTGTCGTTTATCGCGACCAAGTGTAATTCTCTCTCTCTCTGGTTCGCAATCAGGTGATATTCGTCGGAGAAAGACACGAACGGAACGGTTTTCAACGATGGACTTCGGGGGATCGTAAAACTTCGCGTTAAATCCCAATCCCCCGTGGATACACACACGGCAGGAACGATCACGGTTCAAAGGAAGAGGGAGCGGATTCTGTCGGTTCGTGGTACGGGATACGTGGAGGCGACAGAAACGGGAAACAAGGACGACTCGGACAGCATGGATACACGTACGTAATGAAGCGGCGCGCGCTTAAGGCCGGCCGTGGAGGAACGGCAAACAAACACGACTGGGGGCAAAGTTACCCCTCGGTAAATTGGGTTAGCTTAAATCCGTTTACGTTAACTCTAATAGCGGAAGCGTGAACTGCATGTGGCATCGACACCGAACTCGTACGTTACCCGGAGTCCTCTTTTATACGAGCCCCCGGTACGTTCCTATCGATCAACGTTGATCATTGCTCAACATCTCGGGGATGGTTGTTGGGCGAAGCTCGCGACAGGTGCTTTCTCGTGATTATTTAATGATCGATGGCTTGGAGAGGTGGGATGCTGGAATTTTTCTTGCAATTTCTTACCTGGGAATACTTCGACGAAATGCGCTTTCAGTTACACCTATCCCCCGATTTACACGGTACTTTATTTACACGATTTCACTTTTACACGGTTTTCAAAATAACGGCTTTTCAGAAATATAAACTGTTAGAAATAAAAGTTTATGCTGCGCACATATTTGTACAGTCATTTTTTAGCACCGTTCGTTTGTTAACACTGGCATTAAACCAAAAAATGAGCGGAATTTCCCCCTTTTTTGTACACAAAAAGCATTCATACTGTAACGTAAAGTTTGCTGCCGCCGCGGATCTTTCATTGGCCACCGGCTATTTTCGCCTTCGTCGATCGCTCGCTCGAAACTAAACCCTGACTATTTTTTGTTTTTA